TCTAAAGTAATTTTTATAGAAACAGATGCATTTGACTTTGCCTTGGATATAGTCTTATTATAAATAGAGACAGATGACAAACTTCATCTAGTAGCTTTTTATTCAAGAAATTTTTTAGCAACTGTGATTAATTATAAGATCGACGACAAGAAACTTCTTACAATTATAGATTCTTTTTAAGAATGGTGTCATTATTTAGAAGGTGCTTCAAGTCTAGTCACAGTATATATGGATCACAAGAACCTTGAGTATTTTATATTAGTGTGTGTTTTGAATCATCACCAAACTCGTTGGAGCATGTCTTTGGCGAGATTTGAGTTCAATATTACTTATTAGCTAGAAAAACAAAAAGATTTATCTGATGTCCTTTTTAGACATTCTTATCTTACACTAAAAGAAGAAGAAGTAATTTTTGACTAAAAAAAGATAATTTTACTCAAGCCAGAATAATTTCATCTCCAAGCAATGAAATCAACATTAACTATTGATTTGACTTTTTTCAAGCAGATCTAATCAAATATGTCCTTACACCTTCTTGTTCATGATATTAAAAATAATTCTTCTAAGTCTTAAGATACTTCCAAGTTTGAATTTAAGGAGAACCTACTCTATTTTGAAGGACACTTATATGTTCTAAAAAGAGAAGTATGATTACGAGCTCTTGAAGCTCATCACAATTTTCCTATAATATGATATTTTGGATATAATAAGACTTTAGAGCTTATATCTAAGGATTTTTGGTGGTCTCAAATGTGAAAGGATGTTAAAGAATTTGTGCAAATATGTGATATTTATTTAAGATCAAAAACTCCTTATCATTAATCTTATAGACTCTTCCAACCATTACCTATACCAAAACAATCATATTCTTATGTCTCTATGGATTTTATCATGAATCTTTTAATTTTAACTTTATATGATTCCATATTCGTGATTGTAGATTGTTTCACGAAGATGGCACATTTTATACTATGTACAGAATCTATCACATGTAAAGGAATAGCTAAACTCTTTCTTGATAACATGTATCGCTATCATCGATTATCAAGGGATATTATATCAGACAGAGGAACACAATTTTTATCAAGCTTTAGAAGAACTCTTTTTAAGATATTAAAGGTGGATATAAAACTATCTTGGGCTTTCTATCCTCAAATTAATAGACAAACAAAATAGATACATCAAGTTTTAGAGCAGTATTTGAGGTGTACCATCAACTATCAATAAGATGATTGGACAACTCTTTTGCCATTGGCAAAGTTTGCTTATAATAATTTGGTACATTCTTCTATTCAATAAATATCTTTCTTTGCCAATTATGGTTATGATCCACAATTTGATACTTTTGAATTTTTAAAAGTTGATAATCTGGTGATAGAAGATGTGACAAATTGATTTTTAGAGCTACATGCAACAATGAAGGCACAATTAAAAAAAGCTTAAGAACAAAAAAAAGTCAATGCAAATGTCTATTACAAGGAACAACCTCAATTCTATGTAGAAGATAAGGTATGGTTACTTCATCATCATATTAAAACTATTCATCCTTATGACAAGCTAGATTATCGTAGGCTTGGACCATTTCTCCTTTGTGAATAGATCAATCCAGTTGCTTATCGATTACACCTACCGGAGTCTATGAAAATCCATCTTATGTTCCATGTATCTATACTTGAGCCATACAAGACAATGAATATACAAGGAAAGAGACAAATACCACCACTTCTTATAGAAGTAGACAATAATGAAGAATTTGAGGTCGAAGAAGTTTTAGATTTAAGGCGGTGTCCGAAATAGGTTAGAATATCTTGTACATTGGCGTGGATATGACATTAATGAATACATATAGAAGCCATCTAGAAATCTAATAAATGCATCGGCCAAAGTTAAATTTTTTCATCAACGACATCTATCAAAATCAAAATGAAGAGTCAAGACATTCTTTGCTATAAAGCAAAGCAAGCCCAATGGAAATTTCATTCTATCTTGTATCATTGATTCTTTGAATTTTTTTAGTGCTTAGGATATGGAGAATCAACAACCAACACACTTAACTCAAGAACTATCATTTACTGAGCTACTAGATGAGACATTGCAACTATCACAACCTTTGAAACGACAAACTCCAAATGAAGATCCTTAAGAATGACATGTACTTCCTCGAATAGATAGCAAGATACAACACGTTTGATACCACGACCTTGAAAGAGACTCTCGGTGTTTAGTAATACTTTTGGAGGTAGAAACCACTCTTAATGGTATTACTAATGTTTTGTTTGAAGGAAGTTATGAAGGCCTCAATAATGATCAAATATCAGGATGGTCTTCTTGCCCTGATATGAAACATTATCGATTGTTGAAGGGACCTATCAACTATCGTCGAAGGGAATAAAGATCAGAGTATGTGACAAATATAGTTTGACGCATCTTGGACTTCATCAACATGTAATCACTGCTCCTTATGGAACTGATTCCCAGAAGGGGAGATAATATCACGGACATACATATTTACCTTGATAATTATCTAGATAATAAGAATAGATAGAAATAAGTTAAAGTAGATAAATATGATAATATCTTATAAAAAGCTTTCTAAAAGCTTTATAGATACTACTTTGCCTTTATACATGTCTATAGGTGATTGGTAGGTTGAAAACTTGGCCAAAAAAGAGGCCATGTTGTCGTACTGTAATTGTTTATAATATGTAAAAATTAGTTAGGACATATAATATGTTCATAAGTCTTGGTGTATGTTAGAATGGTTAATACATTAATTTAAAGAGAGTAGATATAAAAAACTTTATTTTGAGTTTTATCTATTTTGATTATAGCATTTAAAAAAATTATAGGACCTAAATATTTAATATGAAGCCTTGAGAGGAGATTAGAGTCTAAAGAAGAAATTCTTAACTAGTAGGAGGCTTATTAGGAGGGATGAAAGCAAGGCATGGTTGGATGAAGGCAAGGAATGGGGATCTTCATTCCTATTAGTGGAAGGCCATGCCCAATGGGCTTTGAGGAGGCTGCCTACGACCTTAACAAGGATTTTGGTGACTTTGAAGAAAGCATTTGGGAATTAAAAGCCAAGATTGTAAGGTTTAGAGTTTGGACTACAATTTATGAGTAAAAATTAGAAGATTTGGAGTTAAGGTGAAGAAGTTATAGTCGTTTGAAGTTAAGGTGTTAATTTAAGACATATTGTTATTTTTTTGTGAATATAAGTTGTACGACAGTTTTTGAAGATCAGAAGGTGCAACTAGAATGGAGATTTCAAGGCCTATATCTTTTATGAAAGAATTGTTGCTTTTGGAGTTTTTATAAAGGAATTATAAGGAGTTGAAGGTAATGCTTCCAAATCAAAGGTAGTAAGTGAGAAATTTTGTTTATAGTAATGATTTGAGCCATAATTTGAGTTTTTAGATGAATTTTTGGCTAAATCCTTTTGGAAAAGATAGATAATTGTGTTAAGAAACTATAAAATAAAAAATTTGTGGCATTCAAATATTTAATTTGTGAGATATGAAGAAAATTGCATGTGGATGTATAAAAACTAGGGTTTGAAGCTATTATTAGGGTTTTGGTGATATCTTAAGATCCGTAATGAATTTGTAGTTGAAATTTGTTGTGAAAGTTGCTAAGGATACATCAGTACTTCATGTAAAATTTGAATAAGTTTGGATGGTCGGATCAAGAGATATGAGGTATTGAAGTTTGGAAAAATTTCTACTTAAGGGTATATAAGGTTTAAGAGGATTTTATCATATTTGGATGTTGTTGGTTACTTGAAGCTTATGTATTTGGTGTAATTGCTCCAAAAAGGGAAATTTTATATATAAACTTAGGACTTCCGTTATTTTGAAGTTTGATTGAGTAATTAGTGACAGTCAAGAGCCCAGTGCTTTCTTGAGGCAAACTCTCTCTACCTCGACAACGTGTCGACATGTTGACCACTTGTAGTATAAGTTGGACATATGGCGCACACCTAAGAAACTTTCCTTGCAAATTAGACATGTGTCTTGTAAGTTGGATGCGTATTAGAGGTCTTGTAGCGTATCGCCACATAGTTCTTAGTTAAGTAGTATATATAGAGGCAAGAGTGAGGCCTTCCTCACTCTTGTCAACTCCTTTCTTGCTTTTAGTTTAGTTTCAAGAGTCTTATGTTTTTTAGTCTTTGGTAATAGCCATTCCAGTTTTTTTTTGAATATACATACTTTCTTCTGTTTTGTCACTTTCCTTTTGATACAAATTCCACAAGTTTATGTATCTTCTTCCAGTTTGTGTCCTTAACAATTTTCAAAGATTGGTGCTAAGATTTAAAATTTCTTACAAAATAAAATAAGAGATTAATATTTTTTTGATAAAATTTAAAGTTGCTAAAGAAATAAGATAAGAAATTAGAGACTAGCAATAAGAGAATAAAGAAGGGAGTTGTAATAAAATTAAAAATTGTCTAAGAAATATAGTGAGATTGGGAAGTTTGAGGGAGATGAATAAATGGAAATTCAAGGAATTGGAGCCTAGCTCTAGAATCATTAGACAAGGATTATGGATTCCTACCAAAGAAATTAAAAAAAATGAAAAAAAAATGAAAAAAAAAAAAGTCAGGTTGCAACAAGGGAATAAAGTTGATGTCTTGCTACCAAGAGGCTACACTAGAAAACAATAAGACAGAATTTATAAGAAAAGTCCCTACCCTGAGGATCAAGTGAGTGGAGCATCTCACCTGCAAATTTGGCCAGCATCCACATATCAACATGCAAAGAAAAAAAATCTGTAATTTCAGGATATTACCAGACAAGCATGGGAGGTCCAAATCAGAAGAAAACAGGACAAAAAAATAATAAGGAATTAATTCCTTAATTGACCCACAAGACACAAAAGAAACCGTCTCAAAGGAACAATCGAGATGGGCAATTACTGAGAACCGACACTCACTGGCTTTTATTTTGAGGACTGAGTCCAAATTTAGGGTTTATGATTCCCACGTAGGCTAGGGCTCCTTTTTGAGACCCAGCTCTGCGGACTCTCACCGACTCATAAGAACGAGAACTTTTCGCGGATTCGAAGTGTAGATTTTCTCTAGGAAACTTGTGAGTCAAAATGTGAAGAACGTGACGAAGCGAAGAATATTCAATTTTTGCTTTGTAAGTAGGAAGCTCAGGCGAGGAATTGAGGGAAATAGCGGTGTGATTTTTTTTGGTTTGTGAGTTTGAGTGCTTCGAATATGGAAGAGCACTTCATTCTCCGTGTGCCGCAATCTGTTGCAGACCGTTTAGACAAAATCCTGAACGAAGACCCTGCAAGTGCCAGCGATGATTTCCTCGACCTCGCCTTTCAAGGTCAGCTCCTCTCAACCAACTTCCTCGCGTTGTACGCAAATTTTGATAGAGAGCTTGAATTCGCACAGTTTTACAGACTTTCGGAGCAGGCGGTGTAGAATTGTCTTTCGAAAGCTACCTTCTAGCTGCAGAAGCTACCTGCCTAGGATGCACGTCTGATTCTTCTTCCATTCTCACCGCCAAAATTGTCAGGAGCTTCACGCAGCAATTCCACGGAAATTGTCCACCAAATTTGGAAATGATGGGTTTGGACTTAAATAGAATAATCAGTATGGCTCGCGGGGTCGCTGACACAGTCCTTCGATAGAAGAATGGATGCTGAAAAGTGTGCTTGTCTCAGTTCTGTTTATTGAGGATGATGAAAGGATTGAGATAGTAGAACTTAGAGTCGTGCTTAAAACTCACGAGAAACCAGTCGTTTTTAGAAAGGATTATTTGAATGTGTTTGAAGAGAGCATGGCCAAAGTTTACTATCTTCATACAAGGCTAGTGCTGTGCAGATGCGAGAACAGGAAAATTCACAATAGGAGACGATCAGTTTCCAGCGTCATTGCACGATTTGCCCTGTGTTCTTGAGTCCTACAAGACATATGATGACAACGTTCTAATCAAGACAGCGGATATTGGACAGGTTTTGCTTCCTTGTTTGGGCTCCGTTGATTTTTTTCGATGCTAGCGTCTGCGCATGTGATAATCCTGTGATGTCCCTTACCGAGATTATCATTGCATTAAAATATATATACACTGATGATGCCTCTTATATCGGTTCTATGAAGGCATGACCTTGAGTGGAAATTTGTCTCTGCCCTGCGTACTTGAGAATGCTCGTTAGGTTAAGCTTTCTTCTGATTGTTAAGAAGGTCCATATATTTCTGGAATTATCTCATTGTGAAACATTCACTTCATCGTGGTTGCAGATAATTATGGTGCGAGAGCGAGGAGATACAGCCCCAGATGGACCAGAGTATAAACATGGTTTAACTCCAGCCATGCGCGATGCCCGGAGACGACGTTTTCGTAGAGAACCAGATATTAATGTAAGTTAAGACCTTTCCACTTCCAAAATGAAACTCGCCTCACCCACCTTTTAGAGTGCTATCATTGAAAATCCTAATCCACTTATTTCGCACCAAGGTAATCAGCGAGACAGTGCAATTCTACTCAACCTAAAGAGACTAAACATAATTGAAGCTTTCCAGTTTTTTGTCATAAAAAATCATGTGAATTTGTGTCGGGGAAATTAACATACTACCATGTATTTGGTCGTCTCTGGGCTACAGCCAGACTTGATTCAACAAGTGGAGAATGATCTTCAAAGTATCATGGCTGGCGGGACTGCACGTGATGTCGATATCCTTTTACGCTGCTGTTGAAAGTCTGTGTTGGCAGGACTGTTTTTGTAAGACTAAACATTCTCTCAAGCTTCTCAAAATGTGGATGTTGTTCTGATTAGTGTCCATGATATGAACAAATATTCTACAAGCTTCATTTTTGTCCTCTCGGCAGGTCATTTTATCGATCTCTAATACAATTTGATGGTTTTATTGAGCTACTACCATATCTTTTCTCTTTTGATGAAACCGTGAAGACCCAGCGATGATCCTTAACCGATACCCACATGTTGAGGTTGTTGAACAAGAGGAAGATGCGAATGACGATGCTGAGGCTGAGGAGCCAGCCCCTCGCGCTTCTGCTACTTCTAAAAAGGAGAAAGCTGCTGGTGCGGCTATTCCTGCTGCAACTCCAGCTGCTACCAAGAAGCCCCCTAATGAGGCCTCAGGTGAGGGCGACGAGGACTTTGAAGACCTAATGGACGAAGACGACGAGGAGAATTAAATGTTGAATTTTGTACTGTATTCTTCACTAAATTCTAGAATAGTAGTGCCTCAACAGATGATAGCTCATGTGGTTGTCAGGAAGTGGGTACAGTACAAGAGTCATTGGAAATGGAATAGCGTCCTCTTACTAAAGTAGTTGTGTGAAAATTGAATGATTATCTACTGTACAAAATCTCTAATTTATTGATACAAGGCGTTGGACATGGCTATGGTCTACTAGTTGCTATCAATTTGTGCTGTAAGATCACTATTTTGGACATTGTTGATCTTGTCTAGCAGGGCTTTCTCTTGACAGCCTGTTTAATGGCTGCCACAACCCCCTCTGTATTCTTCAACTTTCTCGCATTGCGATTTGAAAGATATCCCACTTTTAGTGCCAACATAGGGATAGAACGATCCATTCTATATTCAAAACGGGAGATCTAAGTTGCTATTTTTTCATCTACAGAAAGTAAACTTCTGCAAAAACTTCTCACAGATTTTGGAATGTTTATTACTGTCACAAAGTGTAAAGAAGAACCGAAAATGAATGAGTAAATCTTCAGAAAATTAGTGATAAAGATTTGATTGAAAGTGGATCCTTCCTTAAAGTTCAATAATCTAACGCTTGTAATTTTCATTATTTGTGAATTATTCGTTTTGATGGAATTTAGCTCTACATTTGTAAACATAGTTTATCAATTGAGGTTCAGTGCGAAGCATTTTCAAACACAAACATTTAAGTAAATTATGTAAAAAGGTGTGTGTTGCATGCATATCACTAATCAACTTAAAAGCATCCATCAAAATAATTTTTCTATTTATGAAATTATACAATCATGAAAGTAAGTTCAACTGTGAGAAAAGAATAATTTGCAACAATAGCATTTTTTATGGAAATCTATTTGAAAATTTTGTTGACATAATTGTATCTCATGGAAAGAAAATAAGTTTTAGCAATGAATTCAATAAAATCTATCAACGAAATATTTAAAACATTTTGTATATTTCCTTTAGAAGTCGTAATCCCAATAAATTAGAAAATTAATAATGATAATAATAATGTTTCAATATTGTGATTGTACTTAACTAAATCAAGACTTATCCAAAAAAATCTCAAAATTAATATGTACTTTTAATAATCAACTAATTACCTACAAATAAATCTTTTAATAGTCAAAGCAATTAGAAAAAAAATATTCATATTATATTATATTTTTTACATAGTGAAAGAATGAAGTAATTAATTATAATTTCAATATACATGTACATGATTCAAAAGGGTATTCAAGTTATTAACCTTGCATAAACCTAATTGCATTTTAAGAACAGAATGTGAAACATACCTTAACATGATTTGATGTTATCTATAAATAAAAATAATAATAGATTAAAATTTCAAATTACTCATTTTTAATTTTAACTTTTACTGCAAGGCAGTTATTTTTAAAGAAATTTAATTATAGTAATTTTTCGTTCATTATGTATGTGTGTGAATAAAAATATGCAACGAACTGTTATATTCATTAACATTTTAAAATCATTACATGTGTTAAAACTTCAGTATACTTGAAGTAAATTATGATTTAAGAAAGTATTCAGAATGCTGTCGTTCTGATATTCTAAAACATAGAAGTGATGTTACAAATATGATATTAATGTAAGTCTTAATCACGTATTTGTAAGAGACAGCCTTGAGAAGGTACTGACCAGAACCATGCTAACCCATGGCGGGAGGCCAGCACGAATCATTGTCCTCCATCCATAGAGGTACCAATCCGCTGCGAAGAGTGATTTCGGAATGTACAAAAATGTACAAAGAGGGATCGACATGTTTCTACTTTTCTGCACATGTTCAAGAGGATAGAAGATATGAGACACGAGTTATCATATCTGTCTTTCTCTCTTGCATTCAAATATCTGCTTGCATGGAGAATAGCTGAACATAAGACTCAGGAATAAGGTTCTGCAGATGCCAAAGTCGCTGCAACATCTGCTATTGATTGTGGCCTACATCTCGTTGATAATCCATCAGCTTTAGAATCGCATCCGCTGGAGATGTGTACTGTAGAGAAATCACCGAGGAGCTTTCCTCTATCAAAGTATGCATATGTGTGCGCGCGGGGCAATGCCTTGTGCCACTCATTAACGGATTGCAGATCTCCGGATTACTGCACCAGGAGCAGATCTTTAGTAAATAAGGTTGACTACGTATCAACCTTCGAGAGGAATAGACAAGCGAGGATGGACACAGCCGTTGGCAAACTGTTTCGATGCCGACAGGTTGTTGGCTATAATCGACATTTGGTTCAGAAGACTTCGGCACTGCGATACTACTCCATTGGCACCAGCAGGCCAGAAAGCCTGAGCCACTAAAGAGATATGTGCACGCGAATATTTGCAACATTATTGCAGGTGCAGGGGTTGTATTGGCTAATATTTCTCATAAGACATCTTGATGAAAAGTTTCTAGTGCATGAAATCAGAAGCCATTATGAAGGCTTCGAGAAGATTTCTCGTTAAGCTTTATACAGGTCCCGGGTAAGAACTCTACGTATCAATCCTGTTCACTTTCCACCTGATCTTCGGCGCCGCCTTGCTCACACGGGTGAAGTAAAAGATCTGGATGGATCTCAACTTATGTTGTTGCTCCCTTGTATTTAACCTGCAACCTTTGCCAACTGACCTTCAGAAAAGTACATGCATTCTGATTATGTTGCAGTAAGAGTTACTCAAGATGGTCAGCAACGCTCCAGTGAGTTTCTTAGAGTACTACGGCTAAAGTTATTTGAAGCTACACGATTATGTTGTTCGATAATTACAGCTATAAATTTGTCACCCAAATTGATTCACCACTGACAAATCTATTTTCACTGCTATCTCTTTCTCTTTCGGAGTTAAAAAGCTATGAACCTACAAGACAGCGATATTAGGAAGAGAATGATCTTTCAGCGGTCGAGTTCTTTCCATTGATATTGCGAATGCTAGCTGTATTGCTGAATTTATCTGTATAAAAAATCTTTTTAGTTGAATAGTTAAATATTTTCCATCACGACCTTGAAGGTTAACTGAAAAACTTTTGTAAATTGTTGTTCAAGCGAAAATCAATTCCTTAAATGAATTCAGTTTCCCAATATGATATCAGCTCATGCAGAACCCAATTAAATACATGATCAAATTCACATAGTGTTAGATACGAACAGTAATAAGCAAAGTTGGGACAGTGATATGCAAGAGTCTTTGAAGTTCAAAGAATTTCGTAGAGGATAATACCTGGGTACTAAGTAGTCGTTCTTAGGAACTTTGAGTGAAACTGAATGAATAGTACAGTAACACTATAAACTCGGACGACGTGAACTGGCGTAGTGCTGGTGATAGGGAACGGTTAACTTAAACTTAGAACTTGACACACCAGTTTAACTCCGCACTTCTTGCCATATGTTAGTAACAAACCAGTGCAAATGAACTATTCACTCCTCAACGGCTTCGACTAGCAGGCTCCTTTTGGGAATTGCAGTAGGTCGCAGCTACAGGAAGACCCAATCCATAGTACGCTGCAAAATTGCGTGTGCTGAAGTTGTTGCGCGCTGCAGGTGGAGATATGAGAAATGATTGTGAGGGCTGCTTGAACAAAACGAAAATATATCTGTGTATGCCTATTGGTGGGCGTGGACCGATATATGGCACTAACTCTCTGCCAGAGCTGCTTGTCGAAGTAGCCTGTTCACTCAACCATGAAAACCCTGCAGAACCGCAAAACATAAAAATCAAATTAAAAACGAGTACCAATCGTTTTATATCAACTTAGCTTCTCTTGGAAAAAAATTATCTCAAAATTATAGCATTATTTTCACTAAATAGGTGAACCATATCTCCTCGTTTGACTGTAATAATTGATGAAAATTGAATGTTTTGGATTAACTCTCACCAGTATTCGTCTCTGAGCCTCCGCTGTTTCCGGGTATATCAGTAACAATCCTGGTTAGATCAATACAAAATATCAGTCCAGACTACATCCTGTGCTATCTGCAATTAAATCTTTTTGAGTCGAAGACGAGTCTCAATAACGAACAACATAACCAGATTACATGCCAAAGTGGACATAAATAAGTATGACGAGGAAAAAGCAGATGGAACATCCACCGAAAAGTTCTTCACGCAATAATCAATATAGTGATGTATAAGTGCATATTTCCTTCAGTAAATACATGGAAATCAAGAACCTTTCAGCGTGTATTTATGATATTACCAATGCAGCCACTCACGCAAACTTGGTTCGCTGGGGCTTGGAGCATCTGGATCCGTCATAACCTGCCCAGCATGACCAAGAATGTCAGATTTCCGTGCAAGCATCAAACCTAAATGGTAATAACACCTGCAACAAATCCATGAACAAATTCAAGTTACAAGGCACCTTTCAAATTAGATCAAAGAAACCCCGATTTCAATCGCCACATATCTACATTTCAGTGCAATCGTTAAATGTCTACTCTTTCAGAGTGAATTTCACACACCGTGACACTGTTGATTGCCCAAATAAAAAATAAAATAAAGGAGGATTAAAAGCAGCTCTAATCAAGAGAGATAGAAGAGCTAACATACCAGAGTGTAATAATTGTTATCCCCGCTTTTATCAGACAATTGAATTTCTGGTGCCTGGGCAGTGGCGGAGGGCTTCAGTTGGCATCCATTGGTCACCTGTACCATCCACAGAATTGAGCAGTAATAAGTTACGCAATAGAGTCCCCAAGGTTTCATTGCCACCGAGCGAAAGGAAAGAAACTGCCTGCTACTGAAAGCAGTACTCCAAATAGAACCTTCTGTTCCTTCATACAAGAAGATAGGAAACAATGTTGAATCAAGTAAACGCCAGAAGTAAACAGAAGAAATCATGAAACCAGATAAGGTCAATAGGCTATTGCACTCTAACACACCAGAAGCTCTCAGCAATTTGAAACACGATCATGCCACTAAACATGGTGTACGTTGCAGTCACGAGCTCGGACACATCATATCATATGAAATCGGATTAAAATACTTTAATACCTGCCTAGTTGAATAGTGAATAGCCATATCCACCCTTGGTACAAACGTGTCGATGACGTCTCCTATCACCTTTCCTACAATAAGAGGATCTATGGATCGTGGCATGATTGATTCACGTGGACAATCCTCAATACAAACTATGTTGATCTTCGTTCAAAATGGGAGCTGAGGAGGAGCTGAGGAGAAGAAAGTAAAACAAGGACGAAGCGGGAGAAGCGAGAGACTGAAAGGGGAAGGAGCGGGGGCAGGGGCGGGGCAAGTGGCACGCAACCATAGGGTCCGACTGAGCACACTGATGGAGCATGCAAATCAGTATTGGCAGTGTAACTCCGTGTCCGGGCCTATAATCGTGGGCCAACTGTGCTATATTCGCGACACCTGGAGGTCCAAGTGTCAATCGTCTACACGATGGCTATTCGCTCCTCTGTCAATCTTACTACCTACTAAGAAGTCTATTAAGTGCCCATGTATTGAACTTTTTAACTATCATGGTTATGGTTACTAATTTTGGTATTTTGGTATTTTGGAAGACTTTGAGGACTAGTGTGGGATCAATATCATAGCAATGATATCATCAAATAATTGAAGTCATCAATACATGCTTGGTAAAGTCTCATTTGATATTCCATAAGCATCTTTTTTCTTTTAAGTTTTAATTAAATGAAACCTAAATTGGAATCAGAAAAAAACATCCTTTTTTTAAAATCAATACTTTTATTTATGTATGTATACACAACGTGCAAATAGTTGAGACCACAACAAAATTATCCCAAGTCCTAAAGAAATAAATAATTTATCAAAAAATTATTCATATATATATATATATATATATATATTAAATATAATTATGGAAATTGGAATGATTGAAGTAGGTTTAAAGTGGCAGAATCGATTTATTTTTTTCATGACTCAAAAGATTCAACATGTCAATTCTAATGAAAAATCTAATTTTCATAAAAAGATTAATTTTTTTATTTTTTGTTGAAAAAACAATTTGAGAAATAAATAGTAAAAATTAGTTCTTATTGCTTTTGGCATGCAATCAAAATTAATGAGATTCATGTGATTTAATCTAATGTATTTATAGTTCACATTTCTTAAAGGTATGTTAATATTGATACTTGGTGAAGGTATTAGAAAAAGTTCTATTGAAACATCTAATATTTTCTTTATATCTACAAATTAAAACCAATTTTTTTAAGAAACATCAAATTATCATCATTTATTTTTTGAAATATATAGTAATAATTTAAATTTTTCAATGAATAAATATATCATCCAATTCCAATTAAATATAATTTTTATATATAATTTATCAATATATTCAAAATAAATGTATTTTAATCCAAATTATAGGAATAATTTTTGTTATTTACATATACACCTCATTAATAATTTGATTAAAGTATTAAACATGTATTTTCTATTTTATAAGATTAAACATATTTACCACTATTTAGTGAAAATATCAGTTCAAGCAATTTTTTCAAAGTATATCATTCAATTATCAATTAATAATTAAGACATTTAATGTGATAATTTCATTATTTTTTAAAATGATAATTATTATATTTTAAAACAAGATTTGTTTTTAAAATAATTATAATAATTTATTTTTAAAATACAAAAATTTAGATAAAAACTAACTTTATTTATTAGACGTATTATGCACATGCTAAATAATCATACAATTATTGAAGAAAAATTTCAATTAATTAAAAACCGACATACTTCACCAATATACTTTGCTATTTTAACTTTTTAATCATATAAGAATTTTGTTTCCAATTATATGTAGAATTTCACTCATATTTAAGACTTAAATATAATTATATTTTTTTTTTTTTTTCTTTTTTGCTATTTCTTATGGTGTCACTACTTTATTATTCACCAACCATATAATCACATATAGTAAATTAAGATTTATTTATAATATCTAAAAAAATAGCCAAAAACACCTCCACATCAAAATTAATCAGTGCTAATTCGACCTAAGATATAATCATATATACACAACTACTACATTAAATTTTAAGTTTATTAATATTTTTTTGGATACTTGTAGTAAAATATAATAAAAAAAAAAAAAAAAAAAAAAAAAAAAATCACTTACATTAATTTCTAATATCTTAAATAGGCCTCTTTTTTTACTAAAGCATTAATCACAATTTACAAATGTTATTTTGGAGTTTAAGTTTATTATTTGGATTTAATTTTATACATATATATATATATATAATATTTATATTTTTTTAATAAAAATATTAAATTTGAGAGCATTTGAGAATATACATAAGTTATCATTTCTTTTCTTTTTTTTCTTTTTTGAAACAGAAAAGAGATGTATCCAATGCTTTAATAGAGTAGAAAAATTACAATAGATTGCTTACTTCCTCTCACCTTGAGGTGAAGCTAAGAGTACTAAGAATATGAAGTAACTATTAAAGCGAGTTTAAATACACTTTTCTATAGGATCACCACATTAAGGTATTCTAGAGTTTTTTTATAATTATTTTTTTACTTTTAGGGCCAAGTATACAGTGACAAACAAAACCGAGTACAAAATCTGAAGTGCCAACTTTCAAGAGCAATTACAGAAATTTCAATGATTGCTTTATAAATCTGAAAGTTACATGGAATAATACACACAGTCTTGTACACATGTACAAAGTTGCACATCAAATTGATAACTAAACATCCTTCTACAAAGTCAAATCAACAACTATGTCTTGTACTCAGTATTGTTCAAAGAAAATCTTCAAACTTCAATATTTAGTCCAATAACCTTTTGCTTCCAAAACAGCTGAAATCCTTCTTGGCATACTTTTGTATAGTTTCTTACAATCTTTTGCATCAAAACTAGGGTAAATACTACAAACATTCTCCCACAATTCTTGAACACCTCTTGGCCTTGGAGTGACTTGGCTTAAACGTTGTTTGAGAAGGGCCCAAAAATGTTCCATTGGATTCAAATCTGGAGATTGAGTTGGCCATCGAAGGAGCTGAAATGGCTGTGAAGAGAGCCAAAACTGAACACTTTTTGCCGTATGTTTGGGATCATTATCATGTTGAAAAACCACCTTAGTAGGATCTAAGTTGTAATTCTGTATGGTACTTTGTAAGTAGGTTTCTAAAATTTTTTTGTACAAGTGTTGCTCCATTCTACCTTCAATTTGATACCAAGCACCCGGCCCAAAAGCAGTCATACAACCCCAAATCATAATTGAACCACCACCATGTTTGACAGTTTGACTAACATGTTTAGGTCCAAGTCGTTCTCTTTTTCTCAACCAACACCAAGACCTACCATCTGAGTTGATTAGGTTAATCTTTGTCTCATCACTGAAAATAACCCATCTCCAATTATCAACGGTCCAATTTTTGTATTTATGAGCAAAACTCAACTTTGCAAGAACATGTCTTTTGGCAAGTAGAGGCTTCTTTTGTTGCACACAAGCACCCAAACCAGCTTCTCTCAAACCACGCCTCAAGGTGATGTCTGAGAAGTGTTTACCTGTTTTTTCTCAAAGTTGTTTTGCAGCTGCACTTGCCGTTTTGAGACAACTAGCAGTGACAAGGTGCACACCAAGTCGCTTCTCTTGCTCTCCTAAAACCTTTGGACGTCCTCCTCTTTGCTTTTCTATTTCACCACTAATCTCCCTCCTCAGATGAGCTATTGAAGACTGACTCATTCCAAGTAAGTTTGCAACTTTTCTTGTAGAAACACCACTCCTAAGCTGCACCAATGCTTGGTGCTTCAATGATTCACACAACCGAGGCATAGAGATACAATTGAAAAATCAACTTTCACTATAGATAGTACACAACAAGAGCAACACAACAAACAAAAAATGCCCTCAAATCTTGCAACAAGGAGTGTACATTGAAATTTCAAAATTCAGCAAGAAGAAGCAACCAAAACTGAGTACGCACGTCTGTGTGCTTCTACAACACTTTTCTCATAAACCCTACCTCAAATGATAATGAGATTTTTCATCCATGTAGAGGACTAGATAAATACACACAATAAAAAAGTAATTCTATCAATTGACTTATGTGTCAGTTGGAAGGATCAATGAACTATGAGTATTCAGATTTTGTACTCGGTTTTATTTGTCACTGTATGTTCAGCCATCTAATAGTTATTTTATTTCTTGATTAGAAAAGTCTTGTATTATAGATATTTTGTCAATTTATTTATGATGAAATTTCAACAATTTTTTTCATATTTAATAAGACTTGTCAAAGCTTTTCATCTTGTTTGGATGGTATTATTTATTTTATAATCAAAGAAAAACTTGTTTTTGTAAATCCTTAGTCTATAAACAAAGTCCTCTTAACAAGATTAGATATTATAAAAACATTTAAATCTAAAAAGAAAAGTTTCTAAAAAAATAGTTTTTATCAAGTGAATGATTTCTAGAGACCTTAATTCTAAGAATTTGATGTTGTTTTAAATACAAAAGTGGTCTAATCCCAGATATATCAAGCTTTATGATAATTCTAAAACCAACAAAAAAAATATTCAAGTATTGGATGTTGACATATAACACAATGAATATCAATAATATGGCTAATTTCTCTTCTCCACATATTAATTGCTATTTTTATGTACTATGTAAGCCAAATAAACATAGCCTCTTTACAAGAACAAGAGTTGGGCTAAATATCTTTTCAACAAAATGAAGAGTCTTGAACAAAGCAAGTACTCTATTTTTTTGCTACTAAATTAGTAATAGAGCTATTTCATTAAAATAATTTTTTATCAAACTTGATAGATTATGTCATGAATTCTTCTCCAATAATCCAAAAATATAATAGAATATCAAAGGTCAATTTACCAACTAGATCATAGAAGAAATCAATGCCAAAAGCTTTTTTTTTGTTGGTTTTGTTTTTGGAAAAATTCAAAGAATTTTGAAAAGACCTTCTATTTGATCCTTATTTTCCCCTAAGACTTGTTCAAGTCAAAATTTTGCATCAAAATGGAGGATTTTAGATTAATCCCCTACTTCATATATATATATATATATATATATTCATAGAACTGGATAGAATAATCCATTTATTTTTTTCTACACTAATATGTTCCAAAACGAATTAAAATACCACCTTAAGAAGATAATCTAAATTTGTTTGATATAATCTAATCTAATTTTTGGATTTTGAAAGAATATTATTATAATGAAGTATGTTTTTTTTAAAAGATTAGAAAATAAATGTGAAGGGATTCTCAAATAGAGCTATGAAATAGTAGAATGTAGTATATGAATATTATTTTTTCCTTATCGAGAAGAACCAATGGTCCTTGAAAGAATTTTTTTGACACAATAAAGATTGTTTGAGTAAAAAATTGCAACTTGCTAGAATTCTAGATAAATATTAAATTAAGAAAATTATAGATCCAACCATCAGAAACAATTTCACACATTATGAAAGAAGGTAGGAGGGTTGAGCCAAACTTTGCTAGTTTTGTTCCGCATTTTAGATCTAGTACTCCATTTATGATTATAAGTGAGTGACCAAGCCAAATTTTCTACCTAAGTTCCATAAACAATATGTTTAGCATTCATAAGTCTAAATTTAAAAAACTGTTGAATATTTGCTTGATCCAATTGAAAAGACATCTACTTATTATGTTTTGGAACTGCATAAATAAATACAAATATATATATATATATATATATATATATCAACCATGCATAATTTTAAACTAAAGTTTACATTGTCATAAGTGTTTGTTTTACTTATGTTTATATTACTTATCTTTTTAAAAAAATATTAAGCACAAAATCAAAGTAATTTTTCAGAAAAAAATGAATTAACTAATGGAGGTTGGTATCTTTGTCCTCATTTGATGTGTTCCACATTAAAACAACACATGCCTCCACATTCAAATTCCCAATTACAATCTAAACAGCAGATTTTTGTCTCAATGATTACAAATTCTATTTACCAAAGTACTGCAAAGAAAAAAAGAAATAAAAATTTAAAAAAAAAGCACACACAATTTCCAAGACCCCTCTTATTATGATGCCCACTTCATGAGTTAAGAATTTGGTTGGTATTTTGATGGTTGTTTGATTGTGTATCCTTGTTGGGATTGGACGGTGTTGTTAGCCATGGTGATGGCGAAAATAATCCAAGTCACCTATTCTTACAGGAAGTACTGTTATCGGCTGCAACATTCTTTCAGAACATGAGCTTTGGTTTAGGGTTTCTTGAGTGTGTTCTCTATCAGTTGATGATTCCGTCCATGAACGATTTTCACACATACTGTCTGTCAACGAACAATTTCCATGTACCCACAGAACACATCCTAACATGTGAGTATCTAACATGTGAGTATCTCACCAACATGTGGAGGGCTTCTGGACCTCCTTCAAGGTGGGGCAGGCTCAACTTTCTAGTGGTGAAGAACTGAATTCGAAGTAATGAACTATTTTCCAATGCAACAGCAAAGAATTCGACATGGATGTTTATTTTAGATAACCTGGCTCAAGGCAGCGTTTGGTGAGACACAACGACTGGAACGAACCTCGAAGCAAGAAGTACGGTTCCAAAACTCCGACAGCTTGATATTTACACTCATCTGCTCACGAACTCTTGTAACATTAGACAAAATCACTTCCCTATGGCGTCCACATGCAACACAAAAGAATCAGGTAAGATAAGTTAACAAGAAGTGTGCGCACATCATCTGGACTATCACCAAAATCAGTGGAAAAATTAGAATCGTGCATACCAAGTTATCGATTAGTGGTTAACTAAGATCAAGATCACCAACATCGGAGGCACTGGGCCCTACCAAGTACAGTTTCAATTGCACTCTTCGTTGCAATTGCGAAGACGAAACGTGCCTAACCACAAATTGTAGACTTTGAATGCTCTAAAGCAATGGTATTAAAATTGATACAGGGCTATATATAAAAACAGGCCTCTGGTCTTCACCATTCCGGGGGCCAAAAAAATTTATATACATGGTACCCGGACAAAGAATTTGTACATCAGCGTACAGCTTAACTCAACCCAACTTTGATTACGTAACAGTCTGTAATGGACTCTGGGCAATGGGTGCAATTGAATGCTACTATTCTGTTACGCCCTTCACTACGTAAGGCCTCATCAGATGACGTGCCACTGTTGAGGATGAACTTGAACTTAAGGTTGTGAATCGTGTAGCCTGTCTCCGGCAGAAAACACTAAAATCTGATTCTGAGGCCAATAATGGGCTGGCAAAGAGCTCATCTCTCGAGAACGATACCTGATAAACAGATGTCATTTGAGATTCTAGAAACAAAACTTTGCGAGGTTGCCAGTTCCTGGAATTCCACAACGGAATGAGTGTAGGTACAGGTTAACAGAACCAGTGTCATGACAAAAGATTCTGTGAGGCAACTTGGAGAAGTTCAATGGGAAGAAATGGTCCCAAAAATGCTTGCTCTCCTGCTTAAGGAGATGGAAGTGAGGTATTGGGAGGAAGATACAGGGCTAGAACATCCTTCAATTTCTTGAATGTAACGGGCTTGGTCATAAAGCTATCCATTCCAGTTGCTGAACATTGTTTTTCACAGTCAGAGAGCGCATTTGCAGTCATTGCAATAATCGGCATCCGTTTCACCTTTTCCGCCCCATCTCGTATAAACGATGGAAATCCTTTGCGGGAGATCTTCAATGGAAGTTCCTCAAAAGCACCCGATGAGTCTGAATATAGATCAGAAGGTTTGAGAGCACTTTCCTCATCCCAATAGCCCAATTCCTCATACCTCCGAATTCGTCTAGTCACTTCCAACCCGTCCAAGACAGGCATGCATATGTCCATTAACACCTGCAATCCCCAACATTCCCTCATCAGATCAATGGAACACAGTGCATAAAAAGTAAGTCACAACAGCAAGGACCTTGCTCTTAGTAAGACATGATGGTGCAAGCCTAAAAACCGCAGAGGTCATAAAATTAGTATTCAGTAAAGAAGATCTCTTACTCTTTAGTCGACCCAGTTAACCGAAAAATGATTCTCAGATACATAGAATAACCTGTTCGAGAGAGGATATGGAAAGAAATCATATACCAAATCGTAGTGTTTAGTTTGCATTGCCTTGATTGCTTCCATTCCATTAGAGGCGACATCCGCAGATAATCCGAGCTTTTTAAGCATTGATAAGGCGACCATCACATTTACCTTCACAAATACACACATTAATCCTAAAAGTCTTCAATCACAAATCGACAGTAGACACCCGAGTATGACATGGACCAAGTTCTGAGTAGGTATACATTGTGTCTTGATGTGAGCGTACATTCACAATGCAACAGAGTACAAATAACATCGTACTGATACTAGGAAACATAGACAGCTTCCCTTCACGCGGAAAGAATCAATATTAATACCATATAAACAATTTCTTCTCGAATATTCTCACCTTATTATCCTCTGCGAGAAGAAGAGAAGGCAGTTTCTTGTCATTTGCGCCAGAGACAGTGGAGGTCGAAGGTAGACTCTTTGAATGATCTGAATCAGCCATCATCAAGCATTCGATGCGAGAAGGGCCACTGGAAGTTCTTCGCAGACCTCTATCGACGCCACCCCTGTCGCGACAACCGTTTTCTTTCCACAAACCCTGATGTGCTGCCCAGGAGGCAGTATGAGAATCTAATTCTTGTTCCCATAATCTAACTTTCTCTAGAGAACTCCCAAACAACTCAGAACAATCAGAGTCATTAGTGATGCGTACTTTCAGTGAGCCTCGAGGCAGTTTGGTTGGAACTCTATTCGAGGCTGCGTCCACAACTGCTATCCGTCTCGTCACTGGATCATCGTCAAGCCCTTGATATGACTGAAAGTTCAGAAAATTTGTCTCTAGTTTTGTAGGGTTCCACATTCCAGCTTGGAGTTTGTGCATGTTGGCAGTTAAATGAGACAGATTCTCTTTCATTTTGGTTTCGCTAACCATTTTGGCAGGCCCCGGGGATCCTAAAGTCATTGGCAAACTCTTGCAACGCAGGGTAAAGGTAAAAGTTGACCCTTTTCCCTCTTTGCTGATTACGGATATATGTCCATCCATTAACTCTACCTGTGATTACAACTAACTGCTAAGTTTGCGTAGAACATGAGCATCACAAACCAAGACCGTACTCAATTAAAATGCTTATCTGACACTTAATATCGATGAACCTATACGTTCAGGACATGGCTGAATGTTTCAGACAAACAAAAAAACAGCTACTGGGCAACAAAAAGACGAACATAATTCAGAAGCTGAATTTATGTCCGTCACCATACTCCTGACATCTTCAGATAAGAGTTGTCATCTAAACCTAGCATATCATTTTGCATCCACATACAGAATTTTAGAAGATCAAAACACGGATACTAAATGCAGGAGAAAAATAATGGATCGTTAGTCATACCAGCTGCTTGCAAATTGCCAAACCCAGGCCTGTCCCACCATACTTTCTAGTAGTTGAGGAATGCACTAATGTGAACTTTTCAAAGAGAGTTGGCAAGGCCTCTTTTGGAATACCTGATCGAAGATATCACATAATCACAATGCGTTTGCAAGTAATGTTAAAGAATTACTGAACAAAGGACGCCAAACGTCTTACACACTTAAGAACATTAGTGGTTGCACCAGAATTCGTACATTATCAAGACAACATCACTCCAAATTTCACACCTTTAGATCTTCAAATCACAGCTTCTAGTTAAGGAGAATGGATATCCAACAAAATCAAACTAATCTTCCAAGCCAATGTTCACAAACTACGATTAGATCAAAAAGCATTCAAAAGAAGTACCTATGCCAGTGTCTTCAATTTCGAATTTAAGCCAGAAGTCTATAAGTGCTTGGTCACTAGTCTTATTCATCTGCTGGTCACTTTCAGATGGTAGACGAACCTACACGTTGTGCATGCTCTACTATTTAGCCAAGCCTCTTTATCACCTTTAAGAGATTTAAAAAAACAAAACAAAACAAAACAAAAATAAAATAAAATAAAATATACTAAAAAAATCAAGCAGATAGTGTGATTTAGTATATTTAAGTTCTTGTATCGTTATTCAAGTTTAAATAATAGCCCTAATTTTTCTACAGTAATCAAAACATCACCTGAAGAAGTTAAAGAATATCGATTAATTAATTTTAAAATATAAAAACGGATTCGTACGGTTGACGTCAAAAACATGCTACACGGGTCAAGAAACATTAACTTTCATTTGTAAGCCATTAGAAGGTAGAACTTACATCCTCATTCCCAGCCTGAAACAAGTCTCCAACACTGTGCATCTTCAAACGACTTTTATTATGTAATGCTTCTGTTCATAGTCTCCCATCAACTCATGACAATTAGATGTCAACCAAAATTCAAATGACTAGCAGGGTTCTTAAGTTTAAAGCATACAAATATGTTGAGGTGTAGGTTCCAAAGTAAAGGGTTTCTACTGAACAAAAATGAACAATTTGGTTGTCCAGTGTGGCAACAATGGACCAAGCGAACGCTTCTACGCGTAAGAGTATCCGAAGTGATCGATTAGCATTAAATTGACTGACCTTGAGTAGTATCATCCATCTCGGTCGTTCCATACTCAATCATACGCACTTCAGGTAGGTCTCTACGACCACCTTCCATTAAAAGATCCCAGTTCTCTTCATCCCTGTTGGGACCAAGCCCGAGTCCCAACAAAGAAGACATCTCACTCAAAATGTCGGGCGAACTGCTTTCCGTTTTACCCCGAGAACCTTCAATGCCTTCAAGTTTGTTTGTTTGGACCAATGAGTCTGAAACCCTGTGATGTAGATCGATCTTACTTGCATCCATTGAAAATTTTGCAACATGTAATCGGACCTTCACATGACCTCTTCTGGTAAATTTGACTGCATTGAACACCTGCAATGTTAACATGCATGAGATACAGCGTTAACCAGGCGATATAGCTGGGCAATATAGAATTAAATCAACATCATTTTAAAATATGCAATCTGCAAAGACCGGTTCCTTACAAGATTAGTGATTACTTGCTTGATTCGCAATGGGTCACCATAGACCTGAACCACAAACAAATCAAAATTGTCAACATCATAAACATCAGTAAAAGAAGGGAATGATAGATCATTTACATGGATTCACAAATCTTACATAATATTAAGTACATTGTTTGAGTGAAACCGTGAGGTATAGGCCAGAAGAATACCACAGAAGGTACATCATCTCCAATATCAGCTTGAATGGTGATGCCACGATCTTTACAAGCAACAATAGCTGTCCTAACTACATGCTTTACAATGTCCCTCGGGTTGAGCTCCCTTTCCTCCAATTTCATGGTTCCTAAACATACAAACATCATAGAATGCTTCCATCACATGAAAACAAACATCGACAAAAAAAATAAAATAAAAATAAAATAAAAATCTATCAACACGCTCAGAGCCACGAATAAAGCTTGTCACAACTCATATTCCACGTGAAGATAAGTTTGACAAGATATCTTGATTATCGCAACCAGGCATTACCCCAATTGCCTCGAGGAAACTAAAGAAATGTCATACCAGCTTCAACCTTGCTAAGGTCAAGAATATCCGAGATGATTGCGAGCAATACATCTGCACTGAAGACCATAGCAGATACAAGCTCCCGCTGCTCTGGATCCAATGGGGTGGTAGCCAAAACTTGAGCCATTCCTAAACCGTCACACCAACCTCAGTTATATTTACAGAACATTGGCAACTAGTAGCCTCCCTGAAAATTCTATGCTCTAGCGAACAAATATTTCCCAGAACGTGAATGTCCTTTTCAACAGCATTTTGAAAACATTGAACCCACACATACGACCAATCACGCGAGTGATACATACCAAGTACACCATTCAATGGAGTTCGTATCTCATGAGACATAACCGCAAGAAATCTATTCTTCGCCTCCATCGCTTCATCTGCGTAAACATCCAAATAGATTATCAGTTTGCATTAAAATTTGGCAACTATATCAGCCTGCTTACTTAAAACCAAAATCCAAGAAAATTTAAATCCATTTGCACAACACCACCAGATAAATTTGACAAGAAATCCTGGTCCGTATGTCCCCAGCCATATGCTTTACCAAGAAAAGCAAAAATCATATCCTCACCTGCCAATCTGATAGCCCTTCGTAACTCTTTCTCGGTTGCTTCACGTACAGCCATCTCTTCTCTCATCTGTGCAAGCCTCTCTCTTGCCAATGCCTGCAACTCCCTATCAAGTGTGGATAAGCTGACTTACGCAATAGTGTGCAGACCTTTCTTTATATATGAGGTAAATATATGGAAGGGAGTATTGCCCACTTCTAAGCCACAAAGTGCAACTCGAATCAAGAACAAAAAGAGAAAATATAAGATAAATAAAGGACCTGCTCGGTCACATCCATGCATGCAGTAATTACACCCAAAACATGCCCAGCTTTGTTCCGAAGTGGTTCACATGCAACGACTAGCCATCTCTTGCCAAAACCATCCATTGAAACCGTAAGTTCCTTTCCTTGAGCTAGTCCTGATTCGAGCACTTCCTTTTTGATTCTCATTGTCTCCAAAGCCCCAGGAAGAAGTCCTACAAGTTCAGTGTCTTTCTTCCCTTTCATACCCTAAACACAGATGCGGGATTTGAATTTAAAAAGAAGAAAAACTGACAATGTACAAACCGCATGAACATAGCTTCAGCTCGGGGCTGAAGAACAAACTACTGGAATATGATACCACTTCACATTACAATAACAACATAGATGGTGATACCCAAAACAATTCGATCAAGTCAACCTTTGCATAACAATGAGCTGATTAACAAGGAGATCGTTCCGGCGCTCAGAAGTGTAGGACGTACCTCAGGAGGAACTTTGGTCAATGGCTGGTCCACAAACCTGTTACGAAAGTTACAACACTGTGAGAGGTGAAGAAAAATAATGAACCGCCCAAGTCTAATTCTGCATCCAACAAACGCTACTATAAATTCCGAAATTAAATGTTTGATAATGCTAATTAGAGGAAGCTGAGCGGACACCAAACTTGACTCAAAACCTCAATATGATTATGCTCCCATATTATATATAGAAATCGCGAACATCTATTAGTGCGCCAATAGATCGATTCTTACTTGACATAAGTGTAAATGAGCTCTTTATCACAGTGGGATATAATTACTGGAACATCCTTCAGGACCATCTGAAGAAGTATCTCAATGTTGTTTGTTCTTTCAAGCACTTCCACTGCGTCAAGCCTGCCAAGTCCCCGAAAGTGCTCATTGGATTCCATTTCAGACAACTCCATCACAAAATTCTTCTCAAGCCCCTCAGATACACCCATTTGATCGAATGGTGGCCAAGATAAACTTTTCTCGATCGACGACTTCGCACTATCTGGTTCTTGTGTGTCTGCAGCGGATGTGCCATGTTTCAGAAAATGCTCGCTCTCAGTACTAAATGAAACGCTGCTAAAAGTGAAGTAGAAAGTATTCCGAACACTGTAAAGACTTGCTAGGATTAAAATATGTTATCCTAACATAGAATGCAATATTCAAAATAGTATCAGGGGACGATCATCGCTGGGGGCAGTGCATGAAAGGGTGGCCTAGCAACAGGCAAAGACGTACTGCATCCGCTGTAATAAAGGCTATTCTATAACGTATCAAGGTCATCCTCAAGCTTACCAAGTGTTGAAGGATCGGTAATACTTTCAAATGCAGGAAAATCTTGCAATTTTTCAACGAAACGCTTCGTAAATTCTTCTTGTACTGGCACACCCTTACACTGTTGGAAAAATGCTAGTTGTTTCCGAAGCTTTTCATTTTCTATAGAAAGATTCTTTGTGATGTTTTGCCAATACTCCACGGAAGACGCTCTACCCTTGTCAAAGGTCACACTCCCAGATAAAAGACTCTTCCCTGAAAAAGCAAAATCTATGAGAGATTTATTGCCAACACATTGAAGAAATCTGAGACGCAAAAATTCATCAAAGGATCAACACAACCAGAGTGGAATAGAATTAAACTTGTGCTGACAACCAATTTGTGGAAATTAATTGAATCAGAAAAAAGCGTACAGTAACCGATTTCGACACTATCCCTACACGTGTGTGCATGGTAAGTACACTAAGAGTACCAGGTAGAGAAGTCCAGATACTTCAAATGATTTCTAAATATCATTTACAGTATTGTACCACTTAAAGAAATGGCAATTGAAGCGTATCATACATGGTCCAGCTTCTACTCTTCAGACTCCCTCGCCAAAAATATTGGGAAAAGAAAAGGCAAGGAGATGATGCAGTGATCATCAATGGTCCCGTACAAATAGAGACTTCTTTGTTGCTAATCAGGTAACTGCGTCAAATGGAAGATACTACTGCAACCTTGCTTCTCAACACTGACCATATTTCCAATTGATTGAGAAATGAGGATCCGTCTTCCATTCTCAGATGGGAGACTGTGTTCTCGAGTCCTTGGAAAAATAGCTGGAAACAATAGTGGGAGTACAAGGCATGCGAAGGAAGGGCTAACCACCTGTTCCATTGCAAAACGGGCACACATGAATTCCTGCAGTCGTATCCAGCATCTGGGAAGAAGTGGATTCCCATGGAAAAGAGGATGAAAAGGCGGAAGTAGTAGCTGAGGCACGCTCAGAATGCACAGGCGTTCCAACCTCTGACGAAACCGAGGATAATGTAATAGAAGGCGACAGTGACGTCGGCGAAAAGGAGGGATCGTTTCCATGACTGGAGGAGCCATATTCCATATCCAGGCTGCTCCTCACCGGCACCCGACCACCTTCCATAAAACCAATATCCGCAGAAAAAACTCAGTAGCCACCAATGCTCCAAAACAGCTGCATACTTCCAAAGCTACAGAATCCAGGCCTGACACACCTCTACCGCATGATCTCAAAACGTCAAAATTCTCCAAACATGATCTAGGGCTTCCGCATGCCCCTCTCAGAGGAATCACTCAGCCGCACAGCATACGCGCCAAGACAAAACGCCATCCGTTTCCACAAACCAACCCTTCCAATCCCATCCTCCGCCGCGGCTCCTCATCCGCATTAAAACCTTCGACACAGATCGCTCCAAACACTGTTGCATTACGACTCGAAAACCACTTCACCTCCACTAATCTCACCTCACGACGCCGCAAAATCCCCCTCCTTCAATCCACCTTATCCAGCTTCCAATCATACACTCCAACCCGTCCAACATCCCCGACCTCCCACAGCCAGCACAGTCTCCAATCACTACAGTGACTCACCCTCTCGCGCACCTTAGTAACCCTAGATGTCTCTCAAAGAATGTCTGCCTCCCTATGCTAAAGAAGAATTTCCAGCAAACACAGACGTAGGTCCTCCCTCGGCGGAAGTTCCAAGGCCGCGGCAGGGGAGGGAAGGAAAAGGAACGCAAAGGTGCCGGAAACAAACAGCGCAGCAGAGACGACGACGACGACGACGAAATAGAAGGCAGAAGATCGAGGATGGGCTGGCTCGATGTGTTGTTGAGCTCCTCCAGGTAGGAGGAGCATGTGGAGGACGTGCGGACGGAAGGGGGTGGGGGGCACCGGAAAGAGGCGGGGGTAGGGAGGTGGATGATGTTGATGCGGGGGCATAGATTGTCCCCATCAGCGCAGCCCCATCCCCGCCATCGAGTCTCCCACCTCTGCCTCCTTTAAAGTTGCAGGCCTGCTTTGAAGTTACTTCCTTTGGTTGCATTAACTTATTTAATTCTTGAAACCAAGGCTAGCAACAAAATACATGGACTACACTGATTTGATGCACATAAAAGTCTTTCCAAGCGTTCTGAAGCTGAATGCACACAAATATTAACATTAATATTATTATTTTACTTTGAAAATTAATTAGAAAAAGTACCAAACATTAATAATCCATACTAATTTGTCGATTCAACGGCAAATTGAATTTAAATCTATGAAATAATAAGTATTTATCAATTGCATTGCACCTCAAGGATACGAGTACGATGACGCGAGCGATGCAAAAAAAAAAAAATAGTGACCATCATCACAATGGACGAGCTCCGCCGGTGTGAACGGAGGCCCAAAAGCCTCCACGTTCGGACCAATCACAGTGACCGGATCAACCCGGATCCACCGGGACTGGCCGGTAGATCCTCTTAAATATCTGCTCCAAGTTCGAGCACACGTGTCGGAACCAAAGGGGGGTCGTTTGACAGACCAGTCCACCACGCTGAGTGTCAACGAGTAGGTTCGTTGCCACGTCTCCCTCGCATCCCATGAAGAGCACGAATGAATGAGAGAATGAATCGTCGGTTGGTAGAAACTTTGTTCATCCGTCGAGGTGCTGGTGGGGGGGTTGGTTGGATGAAGGTCACTTGTCGATGCTGGGACCAGTCAAATGCATGCATGCAACACCCACTCAAGCAGTCAATCAATCAATCGGGGTCAATAACCCACCACCCGTTTAGTGTGTGTTTTGCCACACTAATTAATACACCTGGAGATCCTGCATACGAAACAGAAATTTTGGGCATTAGTCTCCTGGTTGTTATTGTTGTTGTTCTATATATATATTACATCTAACGTTAGAAATATCTCACTACTACATGGGATGTAATCCTTATACCATGATTAAATTGATTTTAGTTGTAATTGTCATGCTTGCAATTTGCTTCATTTTTTCTGCTTTCGGGAATAAATTGCTCAATTCAAGTGGAAGGTGAATTAGCATTGTGTGCCTCCAGTATGTAATTTAATTACTGTTGCTATTGTTGTTGAATTAAACATAATATGAATGTACGAGTGTTGCACTACCTTTCCTTTTTTTATTTTTTTATTTTTTTGGTGCACAAATGTAGTGTGTGCAACACAATCAAACCTGTGTGTATGAATTGTGCTGGAATTGCGTTGTGACATGCATCAATACTACCAAGATAATTTTAGATATGATGAGGTTTCATTAAGATTTCTGTTATTAAATCAAAATAAATAAAAACTAAAATGTGTAAAATTAAAAATGCATGTTTGTGTATGTACATATGTGTACTTTTTAAGATGCATGCAAGTAAATTCAACAAACCTAAGAATTATGTGTTCTAAATAAAGCTATTTTATGTATATAAAAATAGACTATAAATGTATTTTGATCAGTACAAATGGTTGCCATAAAAACAAAAATATCATGTAATATATATATATATATATATATCCACTTGTGTTGTATTTGAATTTATTTATTTATTATTTATCAGATAATGAAATATTTTTTATATCATTTATAAATAATATTTCATGTTAATTATATACAATAAAATTATTTAGAGTATGATTCCAACATTAATACTTGATTGATACAGCAAATAATCAAAGTTCTATGGTTCAATTTTTAAAATAATTCATAAATATTTTTTAATTTATAGAGATGATTATCTAGGAATTTGGATTTAATAGAATATTAAGTAAAAAAAAACTATAACATTTCAATGTTATTCTTTCAACAGAAATCTGCAAATTTAGTTGTGCTTTTAATATTTCATGGAAGACTTAGTTTGACTTCTAAAAAGTGATATACATATCTGAACACGAGAAAACCATTCTGAATTTCATGCAATATGACTTTATTGTTCTAATAGCATCTATTATTTAGGACTGCAATTTATTTACTTTTTGTATTTTTGGATGCAACACAATAAATTTATATAGAATGGTTAGACAAATGAATGTTATGGATAACAAAAAATAATCATATTTACTTCTTCCAATAAATTACACATGCGAAATTATATAAAACATTCCATTATAAAATATAACAAATGTAGAAATTTTATTATATATATTTTTTTATCTTTTTAAGTTACAAACATTAAGAATTCATTGTAATTATAATTACATCTATTCATATCAGTGAGTTATTAAAAAAGTCCTCACTGAAATTAACTGTATAATAAATATTTATATTGTTTAGAAGTAACTCCTTTATATAAAACAAACAATCATTTTGTCACAATCTAGTTTTTATTTGTATTTATCACTTTTAATTAATATTTTAGTAAATTTCTTCATATACAAATTAAATTTTAATCCTTTATAAATAAATGTGTAAAATTATAAAATTATAAAACTTTAATGATTTGTAAGAGCTTAAAAATATGTCAATCTTAAAACATATTAACCAATACTAAAGCTTATGTATATATGTGTGTGTATATATATATATATATATATATAAACATAAGTTTTTTTAAAATTGACCTACCCATGAATATGGTAATCATGATGAATGTGGTTGGTTTGCATTAGTTTTGAATCACATAGTAGAGAAATAAATCTACATGTCATTTTATTTTTTAATTTTTTAAAATTTTTTCACAATGGTTAGGATAGATCAATTTAGTAAAAGCTTGGGTCTATTTAAAAGTCCCTTATATGTGTATTATAAAATATCAATACAATAATAATAGACTCTACAATCTTGTAAAATCATGAATATTTTTAATCAACCAAGTTTATAAAAGGTAAATAAAAACATATAGAATTTTTTTATTACTCTGATAATTTATGTAAAAATAGTATAAAATTAAAGGTAAAAATTAAATCTATAAGTACAATTAAGTATACCATTTTGGAATATGAATTTTTCATGAAAGCATATTTTATCTTTAAAAAAATTAAAAAATAGTTAATCAGATCTTTAAAACTCCTTAAATATGAATATTATTATTTAAAATATAAAATTGGAAACATAGTTAGTATTTTTAATATTTATTTACATTTAATTATTGTACCACTATTTAAAGCCTAAAGTAAATAATCTTCACAATTCATTTTGATAGATCAAAATTTCAAAAATAAAAATAAAAATAAAAATTTCATCATTAAAATAACAAATTGATTTGGTTCAAATCTTTTTTATGCTTTATTAGGTACAAACGTGAATCACCATGCACGTGGTATTTATTTATTGGCAACAATATTCTACAAAATCTGCCTTCAAATGTGTTTTAAAAGCCTAATTTGTCCATTTGTACTTTTCCTACATTTGTCATTAACGTTGCATATCTGATCATTTGATTTGGAAATATTCATTTTATTATTTAGCCAATTATAAAGTCATATTTTCTTCATACAAATTGTCCAATACATCAATCAATTATATATATATATATATATATATATATACATACATATACAATTTCATCCTTTGAAGATGATTATTATTATTCAATGCTAGTGCTGTGTCCAATGATTTCATTTCTACACAGTAAATATTTATATCAAATCTGTTTTCCTTGTGTAAAAAGTGATGAGGATTTTTCTTACCACACCCTTGAACAACCTTGACAATTGTATCTATTACTGTACCTATATTAGCAAGTTATTTGTTAAAATATCAAAGTACAATAAAACTATGAACAGCATCAAATTATGTAATGACCAAAAACCAATTCATTTATCTTTAAAAGAGCATTATTACCACAACTGCACGTACAGAAAACTTCAGTATCAAATACAATTCCACTGATTTCCTGGCTTTACTCTCACACTGCTAAGCAGATCATCAACTCATTCATGTGGATAATATTTTAAATTTCATGGCACTCACAAAATTCCACACTGCATCATTTCACTTCTCTCATTGTGTGTTCAATTTTTGGTGTCTGTGTGTGTTGCAAAGTAAATTAAAGCTTCTCCTTGTATACTCGACATTGTAAATCTCGATTTAAAAACAGAATCTCTTTAAACATATTTCACGTCTTTTGTTCACTTGGTTTAATTGTTACCTCGGTGTTTTGTTTATATTTTTTGTACTTTCCTTCATTTTTTACATAAATATAAATATAAATAAATAAATAAGTTTTTTGTCCAATTTAAAACTTGGTCACACATGCCACTTTTATCTTCTAATGTATTGTTATACCAAAACAATCTACTGAAAATTTCAGGTATGCATGTATGTTTATGTGTATTCTGATTCAATTGCTTATTGTTTCTTGTGATTGAAATCATACACATATTATTTGAGGTCATTTAAGTAGAAACAAACGTTTTACAGCAACTTTCAGTAAGGAGGTAAAAAATCTGACATGTTGGGTTATATTGGAGTATTGTGGACACTGCTCCCTGATATATAAATCATCCCAAACATTCAGATAAAACTGACATTGATGTACAAAAGAGACAAACATAAACATATTCAAAAATAATACCTGATTTTGTAGTCATCGGATACACAAATTATAACAAGTGATACAACAATGCACGATATTTAAATACGTTTGAAGTGATGTGAGATTTTAAATTACTTTTTTCTTCTATTGATGGTATTGTTATCTGTCATACACAAGGTAAAATTCAATATTCACTTGAATAAGCAATTACACCCATGAACTGCAAATTTTCTTCCTTTCTTTCTATTTATAGAATGGCAAAGTTTTTGCAATGAATAGAGCAACTATTCTTCACTTATTTTCTTCTTTTTTTTCATTTTCATTTCTTAGATTCTAGTGTTGACAACAGCAACTCTTGTACAAACTTTGCACGGAGCTCAGCTTGCTTTTGTTTTTCTTGACGCTCTTCCTCAGAAAGTGGTACAACAACGCTAGATGTAAAGGAAAAAAAAGTTCACATTTTTATTTAAGGGGAATGTTAAATAGACTCAGGCTTTTACTAAATTGACCCAAACATCATGAAAAAACAAATGACGTCTAGATTCATTTCTATACTTCTAGAACCAAAACCAATGAAACCCAATCACACTCATCAGAATTACCATATTCTTAATCATGAGTAAGTTGATTTAGTAAAAACATGGGTTTATTTAATATTCCCTTATTTTATTGCTATCGACAATATCAATAGAATTAATATGTATATACAACAGCAAATTAGATCCAATGGGGGAGATTGTCACACAGCCAAAGCAAATGTGAAGAATAGCGTTACTTGAGCTTGAGTTGTTGGCTCAAGGACGGATGTGGATGTTTCGGCGCTGCCCTACTTTCATCTACATTCGTAGCAGCCATGAGGACGGTGATGGGCACGCTGTTCCCGAGGTGGGGAACGAGCACATCCGTGGTAAGCAGACTGCCCGCAAGGGAGGTGCCTTCCAGAAGGTTCCCCGTGTAGGCCTTGTGGAGCACCTTGCCAAGCAGGGACAGCGTGGCATTGGGAGTTGCTCCAGCGGATTTGAATTTCCTCCAACGGTGCATGTGGAACAAGCCTTCGGTTAAGGATTGTGTTTTATTTATTTATTTATTTATTTGGTTATTATTTGTCTTACCCAACACCCAGTTTCTAGAAATCCTAGGGGTTGCTCACAAAGGACCGAAAAATATAAATGAGGATATCTTTAAATAGTGGCCATGTTGTGTCGAAATGTGCCCTACCAAGTCCTTCACAACTTTGGCAGCACAAACTGGGCAGGTCTGCATCCCCCCCCCACCCCATCGCCACAGTCAAGCTCCAGCTCTAGAGATAGCTGAACCTTAAACCCTAACACTGAATCTCAACCCTAAAGTGCAGGGAGAGGGGTGTTTTTTCTTACAGCAGCAGCTCTGGAGGTGAAGGGGTGCTCGTCCTCCAGGTGAGCACACAAGGCCGAGGCGTCCATCTCTTCATGGCAATGGGGGCACGGAAACTCCGCTGCTGTATCTACCTCCTCAGCCTCCACTTCGTCAATGCTGACTTGTCCGTCTGCCGAACACAGAATCATCGGGTTTTGGATTAGGGTTTAAATGTTGCAGGGAAGGAAAAAGCAGCAGGTTGGAGTCCAGTGAATGCGAGTGGGCGTTCCATGCCTGTCGTTGCTTGAAGGGGTTGCAGGGAGTGGAGCCGTTTGGCGGTAGGAATCCGGGCCGTCCAGATGTCGGCGTGGTCCACGGCATCGCCGGCCTCTTTGGCCTTGCCTTTGCCCCTCAGTTGGCGCACCCTGGGGCCTCGCGGGTGGAGGTGGCGGGGGCCCTTCCCTACGCCCCCGCCCCCTCCTCCCTTCCCCTTGGTGACAGGCCCTTCCTTCGTCACTTTCGTAGTCTTTCGGGCTGCTCGGATATTGTAGGGTTAGTTTGGATTACGGTCTGCGAGGAATGCGCCTGCACTTCAACCCAATACATGTGCTTCTTTTTCTTCTTCTACTCCTCCTCTTCCCTCTCGTTTTTGTTTTTATTAGGTGGAGGTTTGCAGTTGAGATGATGCATCAAAACTAGGAAAGCAGTCATGCGAAGGCAGGTGTGGCATGGTTTCCACCATGCGAATGCGAGATTAGGGTTGGATTAGGGTTTGGAGGAGGAATGGAGGAGTGTGTCTTTCAGAGCACCAACGTACGTGACGGTTTGCTGGAACGGCTGGTTTATGGAGGCAGTGGCACCCCATTCCCATTCCTCTCCTCTCCCCTTTCTCCACTCCATTGTTTGCCCACCTCTTCATCTCCTATCCACGAACCACTAAGACTTCAATTAGCTGCTTTTTAATTAGTTAGGTAGTTAATTTGTTTTGCTTTCCGGGTGACTTGTGATATTTTTGTCCTTGAATCATTTCATTCGTATCATTTGATGGGCTACTTAACTAAATAATTTATTAGAGAATTTCCTCTTCTAAAACAATAATTTGCACATACAGTTTGATCGTTTCTCAGAATTTTTTATGTCATTTCACTCTTCAAGACACAACAGGAGTGTGTGAGGAGCTTATTTCTATTATGATGTGCTACATGCTAAATTTATCGACTACTAGTCTACATGATGAACTTATTTGTGCTTGGTGTTATTAACCATGAATGCACACATGGGCATTTCTTGTTTAAATTTATAATCTCATTGCTGGAGAAACATAAACATTACTAATACATACATGCATACATTTCTCCTCAAAGAGAGGTTGATGAAATTGTTCAATATCTTTCAAAATAAAAGACTACACTAAAATCATCGCATGTTGATTTTAATATAACATATTACTATCAAGACTGTCGTAACATGATCCATGTAATGTGTTCACAGAACCATTTCAGTATTTGCATGATTTAAAAATAATTGGATTATTAATTGTGTTTAACAATGAGATAAAAATGTTTTCTATTTACGATTTTCTATGTCTGAGGCTACCACCACTTTCATGTAGAATTGTATTTACTGTCTTTACACTTTTAAGATCAAGATCTTCAAAGAACATACATCAAATTATTTCTATACATCATGAATTTAGTAATTGTGACATTTGATATTTTTAATTATACTTAAATTTATTTAATAAATATTACAAAAGTAAATCTAAACTTTTGATTTGTTTATTCTTCAAGTTTACATATTGAAACATTATGTGCATGAAAAGTAAAAGCAAACACAACACATGTGTCTATTATTTACAATAACTAAAGTAATTTAGTGTGGTTCTTGTTAATATTTGTAATATTTATAATGTTCAATACTGATTGTATATACCTAGTTAAGTACTTAGTGGGTAGTAGTGTATGAAATTAATGTAAGTTTAAAAGTAAATAATTGGTATTTTGTACTTTGTTTTTGGAAATAATTCCTAATTTGAAGTAGAGCATTGATTGGAAGTTGAGTACATTTTTGTCATCATTCTTGCTTGAAATATTAATATCATTTTAAAATTCTAATGAAAAAAATAGGCCATGTTAAAAAATATGATTGATTAAAATAAAAATTGTGGTCATTGAAGAAAAATATTAAGTATAATATCTAATGTATCTTATGGAAAAATGTGTAGAATAATTTATATAGCACATATTTAGTATTAATTTATTATTTCAATACAAACTATCATAAATATTGATTTTTTTCTCGATTGTAAATTAATAAACTTCAACGATTTTTATTATATAGTTATTTCACTTAAATAATTGATTTTTTTCTTTTTTTTAATAAGTTAATATAGCATATGAATATGAAATAGAATATAAAATATTAACTTATATATATAAAAAACTAAAAGAAGAATACTACTTTGAATAAATTATAAATTTTAAAACTAAAATAATAATAAAATTATTACTTGATTTTAATATGATAAGTTTGAATGTTGCTTTTGACCTTATATTTTATTGAAATATGAGATAGTACAAAGATATTCTATAATATATGATAAATAAATAAAGAATTCTATTACTTAAGAATTGAAGTATGACTATGTAAATAAAAGAGACTCACCATCTTATTAACAAGAATAAATGAAATCTAAAAACTACAACTAAATAAACTTTCAAATTGAGATCTTACACTATTAGTCTATTGTCTAATAATATGGACTTTCTAGTATGAAAATATTATCATTTAGTTTAGTCAAAGACATTCAATTGATATGTAGACAAATATCTTGCTAAATTGCATAATAGCTTAATAGGCTAGATATTACAAACATATATATATATATATATATATATATATATATTTACATAGATTAAATGAATTAGATAGAAGTAAATAAAATTGATAATATCTTGTTGAAAAGCTTCTTAGAAGCTTTATAGACATTGATTTGATTTTTTACATGTTCGTAGGTGATTAATAGGTTGAAAACTTGGCTAACAAGTTGGCCATGTGTTATACATGTTGGTGACTTGTGATACAAGTTGGCCATGTGTTATACATGTTGGTGACTTGTGATACAAGTTGGCCATGTGGTACATATATAGAAAACTTATCTTATAAGTTAGACATATATCAAAGGCCATATACAATGTTGCCATATAGCTCCTAGTTAGATAGTATATATAGAAGTAAGTATAAAGCCTTCTTTACTCTTGTCAACTCTTTTCTTGCTTCTACTCTGGTTTCAAGAGTCACTAGTTTTTTAATCTTTAGCAATAGCTATTATAATTTCTTCTTAAATATACTTATTATTTTTTTTTTTTATTGATTTTCCATCTTTCTTTGAAAAATATCTCACTTGTTTATTTACATTCTTTAAGCTCTTGTCTTTGACAATAGAATGGCTAGAAAGACTAAATTATAATACTACTAATATGTAGTAGCTACAACTTGTTAACTGATAATATGGTGTCAATTGCCTATATATCTTGTAAAAGTTATCCATTCTATTAAGACTCCTATTCAATAACTTATTAGACTAAATAAATCTTATTATATCTATTATTTTTTTATATTTATAATTTTCATTATAAATTAGACTTTAGATGAAAAAAATTGTAATTATATCTTTAGTTGTACAAAACATTTAATTGATGTTGTTGCTTACAATTTGCATGCAAACAAAATGATATTGAATTTTATCATGTTTAGTATAAGCATAGAATATAGAATTTTTGAAAGAAAATTGTAACTTTTTCTATCACTAAAAATAGTCATAGGACCATTTTATAAAAATCCAATATCTTTATAAAAACCTTTGAAGCAAAATTACTTTCTTCAATGCATGAATAGGTGCCATATATTCTACTTAAGTGGTAAACAATGCAATTGTTTGTTGCTTCTTGTTATTCTAACTAATTGCATTGCTAATCAATAAAAATATATTATTAATGATCAAATGTTATGTATCAATATCTCTAGAATAATTATTTTTGCTATAACCAATCACTTAAAAATTTAAAGAACTTTCATCATATTATAGTATAATATTGATTTATCTTGTAAATAATATAAAATCAATTTTATGGCTATTCAATGTTTTGGGCTAAGAGTTGTCATGTATTACCAAGAATTTTTTTTATAGCTTGAATATCCTTAAAAATTAGTGTATTAGCATCTCTTGATAATTTGCTATTAGAATCCAAAGATGCAATTGAAGGTTTAAAATCTTTTAAGTTAAATATTTTAGAGATATTTTAAACATATTTTTTTAAAGTAAAGTAGAATTAATATATTTTTTTTAATTTTTCATTGTATGAATCTTTAAAATATTATATTTTTCTTTAAAATCTTTCATAGAAATCTTTTGGATAAGTTTATTATTTTCTAAAAATAAAAATATTAAATCACCAATATAAAATATAATAAGAAATCTTTTGATAATCCATATCATATAAATGTTAGAATTTGCATGGCTTCTTTTCAAACTTTAGAAGACAAATAATTGTCTATCTTGTTATCATATGCTCTAAAAGAATTTTTGATAGAAAGCTCATTTATCAAAATTTTCTATTTTAAAAAAATATAGCCTTCAAGTTGATCTATTAATATATTTTAAAAAAATCTTTGATAAAAAATATTTAATTAAACAAGGATTTAATGAATTTCTAAATCTTCAACTACAACTAGTGCCAAAAGTGTAAAAGTCAAGGTTATCTTTATTTATGGAGCAAAAAGTCTCATTGTAATCAATACCTTCCTTTTACACATAATCTTTATTAATTAGTCTTATTATGTAGTGTTTCATTAAACCATCTTCATTGTTTTTGATTTTGAAAATCTATTTGCACCCAATATATTTTTTATTTGTTAGTAAAGATATCAAAGTCAAAGTCTTATTGTCAATAAGACTTTTATACTCAAATTCTATTGCTTTCTTTCACTTCCAAGCATCACTATTTTTTACAACTTTAGTGATAGTAATTTGTTCTTAAATGCTTGCATAAAAAAAACTTCTGATATATATATATATATATATATATATATATATATATATATATGCTAAAGTGTGGTGTAAATAATGATTTTTATATACAAGTAATTGAGTGCAATAAATTAATATTAAATACCATAAAAAATATGCATCTAAATACTATTAAAAATGCATAACAAATACACCTTTAAGAAGAAATAAACAACTACTACAAAAATTAAGCATCTCTATTTCCACATGAAAATGAAAGAATGAAAATTTATACACAAAGTAACAAGCTTTGTCAAATGACTAAACCATCATCTCTAAAAAAAAACTATCAACAACAAGCTTTCAAAAATACTCACAAAAATTGACCTTATAAGAATATTAAATCAACTATTACTAAATAAGTATCTATGTAATCTACTTATAATACTTTCAAGCAAAAAATACTAACATAAAAATATTCTTGATATTATTAATTATCCTTATTTATTACTAATTTTATCTTTATTACAAATAAATTGATTCTTTTCAACATCCAAAAATTTCAATAATCTATATAAGTTTTATGTCTAATATCTTTAATATATATTTTTTTCTTTTCATAAAAAAAGTGTTAGAATTAAAAATTAACTTTATATCCTTATTTTGTAATTTTATTAATATATATATATATATATATATATATATATATATATATATATATATATATATATATATATATATATATTTTTGTCAATCTCTTAACATACAAGATATTATGTACATTCTTTCAAATATTTTTTAGAAATTAAAAAAAAATACTTTGTCCTTTCTATGATAGCAAGTCTACTATAATTTTTTAAATAGTATGAAATCCAGCTCTAATTTAATATCACATGCTAAATAATATTGGA